AAAAAAAAAAAAAAAAAAAAAAAAAAGCTTAATTGGGTGTTCTACAGAAGATATGTTATAGGCTTTATGCATGGAGAGGAAGCCTAGGTATATGGAAGATGGAGAAATGACACTGTCTATTGAAAAAACTCTCTAGAACATTATCTAGAGCACATTTCCTCATTATAATGAAGTAATTAGACAACAATATAATACCTGAAAGGCCATCTTTGGTTTAATTTCTAAGGGGAGTTGAAAAAGCTAGAAGTAGGTAGATGGGAGCCAGGCATGCCTACTGAGGAAGACTGGGTAAAGGTCCTAGGAGGAAGTTGATGGTAATTTCTGATTTCAATTTTTTTTGTTGTTGTTTTTTGGTTGGGGGTAAAAATTTTCTTCCACAAATAGAACACAACTCTTCTAATATTTTCATTCCAGTACCTACTTCACCTTCAACAGCAGGAACCCAATCTACAACAATGCCAGAAAAAAGGATACAACCCACCAGCTCACCATTGTACTGTTGCACAACAGGTAACTGCATTCTCTTTCCAGAACACTGAGGAAATTTAAGCCTTGAAAATGAGCAATCTGAAGTAAGATCAGATCTGACTTGAGTGGCAACAAGCCTTTCAAATCAGCTCTATGACTCGTGGAAGTGTCTATACTCTTGGAATCTATTTTGTTATTTGCAAAATATTGAATCATCAGAAAAGTCATGACATATATTTCTGTGCAAAAATGTGTCATGACTTTTCTGATGACCCGATACTATTATTAGAATGTCTAAAATCTTTATGCCTGATTGACACAAGTAGCTTGTATGGTTTGGGAATGTTCACATGGGTATTACTTTATTTTAATACAGCACATCAACCCATCTTGACTTGAAAGTTACTATTAGATTTGATCTCTTGGGCTAGGGCATTAAAACTATTAAATCCAGCTTTCTGGTGTCTAGACCAAACTGATTACTCATGCTTCTTCAAGTTCCAGACCCTAAATTCAGTCACGTGGCTCCTCTACTGCGTTTTCAATCTTGTATGTACATGAGCATTCTGAGATGGTGCTATGGCATTAATGTTTGCCTCCCCCGTCCCCGAAGCATCTGGAAGGTGATTATATTTGAGGGAAGAACCCTCACAAATAGGCTTAGTACCCTTACAGAGAGGCCTGGGAGCTTATTTTCCCCCCTTTCCCATGTGGTGACAAATTAAAGGCACTATCTAGAAGAAGAAGGGTCCTCACCAAAAACTCAATCTGCCATCTTGATCTTAAATTTCCTGGCCTTTTGAATTATGAGCAATAAATTTCTGTTGTTTATAAATTACCCAGTATAAGGCATTTTGTTACAACAACCCAAATGGATTAAGATCGTTGGGTTGGGGTTAACAATACCAACATCAAGGAGGAAAACCTCACTGAGATCCTTCTATTTTCTAGACAGTCTTCCCCACTCTCCCAAATCTGAGCAGTCTTACAGTACCTACTCTTTAGAAATACAGAATTGACCTACCATTCTTTGAGATGGAGAAAGGTGATGTGGAATCCTGTCATCTTTCTAAGCCAACTGTTTTTATTACCCATGGTGATAAGTTTTGGGAGTGCCACGTGCTGATTCCCTTTGTGAGCAGAGCTGGCTTCTGTGTTCTTGTCTGCATCCAAACAAGGTCAAGTTTTGCAGGACTCCTCATGTGTATGACTCACTGTACTCAGGAGCGGCCAATCTGAAACACTATCTTCGCTCACCATATGGCCTGACTTTTGCCAATCATTCCTGGAAGCTGGTTAATTTAAAATGAGCCTGCAGTGCAATTCACAGAGGGACCTATTCAATTGGATAATGGTGACATTTGGTTTTGAAAGTGGAATCTTTAGTGCGAACTGTTTCTGGGCACAAAAACAAAGTAAAAATAGATAAAAATACAAGGTAACAGGAGCAGGAGCAGCTGTCTACCCCTCTTTTAGCATGCGAGGAAGAAGTAAGTAGGAGTGGGGAATCGTTCTCTGAAATACCATGTCATTAAAACCTGGTCAAGGTAGAGCTTTCCAGAGTGCGAAGGACATGGAGCAGCTGTGTCCCCAGGACTTGAGTGACGGCAGAGATTTTGGCCATGTATCTGAGGCTCATGGGCCAAGTCCCCACTGTACCGGTGTCAGCCCTCAGTTGGCTAAAACCTCATGGAAGCAAAGTTAGATCTGGAAGAGATTTCAGTTGTCATATGATCCACTAGCTACCTTTGACAGATTTATGTGCTAGGGAACTCATACATTATATGATTTAATTCTTTCAAGGCAGGCCACATTTACTGCCATTGCCAGACTGGGGAGACTACAGTTCTGCTCTGGAGACACACAGGTTCTAATCCAGTCACCAGTTATTAGCTGTGTGCCCTTGAGCTAGTTGTTTAATGCTCCTCACTAGATGATTAGAGTATATGATATTCAGAAAGTACGTGGCACAGTATTCCCTTTCCCCTGCATTGTTCCTTTTATCGAATAATAGTGATAGTAATAACAGTCAATATTTTCTTTTTAGGGACCAGCAGTTAGTGTAATGGCTATGTCACTGGACTCCCACGTAGTCGACCACAGTTCGCGTCCCGGACCCAGTGGCTTAAAACTCATGCCGGGCACGTGTGCGTGCATGACCAAGATCCCAAGAGGAGAATGGAGGAGAAGGGATTGTGGCGTGGCCATCCCCCCTGGGGGGGGTGATTTCTTGCTTTCTGTCTCTTTGTCTCTGTCTGTCTGGCGAGCACACGTGCCCTATAGCAAAAACCTCTCAAAAAAAAAAAAAAGATTTTTTTTTTAGTTTCACTGTAGTGCGTGTACACTTGCCAGAGACAGAAAGATGGAAAATGAGAAGTCACCCCCCAGGGATCAGCAGTTAGCGTAATGGCTATGTCACTGGACTCCCATGTAGTCGACCGCGGTTCAAATCCCAGACCT